TTCAGCAGTTACCCAACCAGTTAGTTGCAGGCAGGGTGGGCCAGGGTAGGTTGATCTCTGGAAAAGCAGAGAACAGCGGCTTCCTGCAGGTGGGCAGGTGGGTACTTGCTTGCAAAAAGAAGAGAGGGCTAAACTGAGCACACCATTTATTCCTCTCAGTTTTACTGGTCAGACAAGCTCACCCCACCCCCACTGGGGCAGAGAGGCCAAGAGTGTTAGTTATACCCGGTGAGTTCCTCCAGGTGGAAAGAAACATCAGGAGTGGGGAAGCATTTTCACATCTAAAAGGAGATCAAGGAACTGTCAAATCCAAGGTGTTAGATAGTATTTATAAGTGTTGAATCACCGAGAGTGATGACAGAGAGGAAGATGGAGACCCAGCAGCTAACCTATTTAGGGAGTGAGGAGTGACCTGGAGGTTGGTGGCTGTCAGCAGAAAGGAGGGTAGTGGGCAGTATCATCTGAGCTGTTTGCTTTGTGTTGTCATTTTTGTGTCCCTGTGTGATTGATTACATGTGTTTTCCCACAAGTCAGAAAGGTGCAGGGAGGCAGGGACCTTGTCTTTCTTGAGTCCTCTGGATTCATAAATACTTGTTGAATGATTTAGAGAATGCGGTGACAGAGTGCTAAGCCCTAGTGTATTGAGTCCACAAGTGGACCGGGGTCCACACAGTGACGGCCGAGGAGGCTTACCCAACTCCCACCTGTTTCCCTCGGTAGCTGACATCGGCCTGGCTGACTGGGGACGCAAGGCCCTGAACATTGCGGAGAACGAGATGCCGGGCCTGATGCGCATGCGTGAGCGGTACTCGACTTCCAAGCCGCTGATGGGCGCCCGCATCGCCGGCTGCCTGCACATGACGGTGGAGACGGCCGTCCTCATTGAGACCCTGGTCGCCCTGGGTGCTGAGGTGAGGCCCACAGCTGTATCACCCCAGAGTTCTTGCCATCCTTTGTGGTGGGTGTTGTGCACATTTTCTTCCTGGCTGGAAGATAATTGTTGGCTGCCCTCAAGGCATCCTCATGCTTGATGCTCTGGCAGGAAGAACTCAACTCCCGTGTCCCATTTAGTCCTATAAGGGCTTGCTTGCCTTGGCCCTCCTGGGGGTCACAGACCTGCCCTGGCCCATCATGGCTGCCGGGATGATGGCAGCTCTGATTTTCAGCCCAGGTCATGTGTGCCAATGATTGACATGTCTCCTAAGGTCTCAGAGAGTAAAGAAGCAAGCTGGTTTCCCAAAGCAGGGAAGGGCATTGCAGCCAAAACCCACAGAGGGACTCAGGGCTCAGTCCTTGGACCTTTCCTTTCAGCATTCACTCTTGGTCTGATTGCAGAGCTTTAGATACTGTCTATCTGGTTTTGACTCCCATATTTTTGTACTAGCCTGGACTTCTCCTGGAGCTCGGGACTGGCATATCCAGGAGTGGGGGTGTTGACACTACCTGGCGGTCTAGTACTCACCTCAGGCAGCACACGTTCAAACAGACTCAGGATTGTCTGCCCCTCCTCTTCCCAAAGGCTTCCCTATGTGAATAAATGGAATTTTCACTCCAGCCTTCTAGGTTCCCTCAGTTCAAGAATCTGGGAATCATCTCTTCCCCACCCTTTCCTCCCCGCTCCCAACCCCTTTTACTTCAACAATTCATCCCTTAGCAAATCCTGCCAGTGCAGCCTTCAGAGTAGACCCAGGATGGAACAGCTTCTCATCACCTTCACTGCTACTGCTACTGTCATATTTCTTGCCTGGAGTCTTCTCCAACAGTCTCTTCAGCTGTCCCCTTGTTTCCGCCCTTTCCCTTCCACACAGCACCACCATAAAAACTTGAGTCAGGGCTGGGCGCAGTGTCTCACACCTGTAATCCTAGCACTTTGGGAGGCCAAGGTGGGTGGATGGTGAAGTCAGGAGATCAAGACCATCCTGGCTAACACGGTGAAACCCCATCTCTACTAAAAATACAAAAAATTAGCCAGGCGTGGTGGGGCATGCCTGTAATCCCAGCTACTAGGGAGGCTGAGGCAGGAGAATTGCTTAAACCCTGGAGCTGGAGGTTGCAGTGAGATGAGATCACGCATTGCACTCTAGCCTGGGCAACAAGAATGAAACTCTGTCCCAAAACCCCCCAAAATAAAAAAACAAAACCTGAGTCGGATGTCGTCACTGCTCTGGCCCCCATCTACCCACCCAGTGTCCCCAGCCTGTGATCCTAGAGCTTGCTGTGCCTAGATCCCAAGCCTGTCCGCCTACCTGCAGAGCTCTCCCTTTTCCTTGCCCAGCGTTCCTGGTGCTTTTGAACCATCAGTGACCAACAGCCTTGTTCTGACGGCTCTTTCTAGGTGCGGTGGTCCAGCTGCAACATATTCTCCACGCAGGACCATGCGGCAGCTGCCATCGCCAAGGCTGGCATTCCAGGTGAGTCCTGCTTACTGCTGGGACGTGTGGGGTTTATGAAGGGGCTGCTCTGTTGCTTCACTGACTGCTACAGCGACAGGCTTCCTTAGCCTACAGCAGGGGAGAGGAGTCACGGCCACAAAATCCTACCCAGCCACCCATAGGAAAGAGCTGCTTTGTCCCATCCTCATCTAAAATCCTGTGGAAGTTGTTTTTTGACCCAACTCAAGCCATGTGACCAGGAAGGGCAAGATCTTATTATTGGGAATTACATGATGTAGAGGAAGGGAAGTTCATTAAAGGAAGGGTGTGGATCTGTTTCTAAAGAACTGGGGAGGGCTACAGGGCAGAAAAAGATTCACTGCTTAGGGTATGGCGGTTGAAGGACTGAGGAAGGACTAAGACTAATGAGAAAGGAGTTTTCACAGGCTGGGCACATGTCTGCTTGGACTTAGGGAGGGAGTGGTTAATCTCACGCAGTGATTAAAGAGGACAGTCAAGATTTCTTCTAACCGACCATAGGTAGAGAGGAGAGGGTGGGACAGGGCTCCTTCCCAGACTGACCAGGGCTGAATAGGCATGATCCCCGTTCCTCACCATGGCTTTCTTCTGGGAAAGGCCTTGTTTTCTTTTTGTTTTTCCTTTTCTTTTTTTTTTTTGTTTTGAGATGGAGTCTTGCTCCTTTGCCCAGGCTGTAGTGTAGCAGTGTGATCTCAGCTCACTGCAATTTTTAAGACCATTGTCTGCTCCAGTTGCGCAGGAGAGGCTGGCTCTGCTTGGCCAGCGTCCTTTGCTCACAAGGGGCTCCTGGGAACCCCACACCTGTGCCCTAGTCACGTCACATGGGAGGAGTGTGGACTGGCCACCCAGTCCTTAGTGCCCCTTAGTTCCGGTGTCTGTTCTGGAATTTCATGTGGAGTGGCCCAAGTGCGTCTCAGCCCCTCTCTGGGCATCTGTAAGTGTGATAATGGTCCTGGCTGCCTCACAGGGTCTGTGTGAGGATAAGCGAGATGGGGCATGAAGGATTTAGAGTCATGTCTGGCAGAAAGCAAGTGCCCCATAAATGGTAGCGGCGCTTAGTCATTTTTTGGCCAAACTTTGCCTGAGACTCCTCCCATCCCAGAGGCTGCTGGTGCTACAATCCTTTCAGTGCAGAGCAAACCCTGGATCCTGCCTTGGGGATCCAGCTGAGGGGGAGGCATTGTGGGGCATGGAGGCCTGGTCACTCAGGGTTGATGCCCTAGTCCTTGGGGCCCAGGCAGAAGGGGATGGGAAAGGAAATAATTATTTCCTGATATCTACATCTGGGGGGCTATACATGGCTTCCGTCTCACTTAATCCATACTGTTTTAAGCCCTATTTATAGAGGAGAAAACTGAGGCTCAGAGAGGTGAAGTGATTTGCCCAAGGTCACACAGCTGGCAAGTGGCAGAGCCAGGATTTGAACCCAGATCTATGTGGCTCCAAGTTGTATTCTTATCACTGCTGAGTCCCCAGAGGGGCCAGAGGTGGCTGAGGATGGGAATTGGGAAGGAGGTAGTTTTGGCTCTGCCAGGGTTGTTCCCGGGAGCAGGTACAGACTGGGGAAGTCCAAGCCCTAATATGCCATTCACCCTCCAGTGTATGCCTGGAAGGGCGAAACGGATGAGGAGTACCTGTGGTGCATTGAGCAGACGCTGTACTTCAAGGACGGGCCCCTCAACATGATTCTGGATGATGGAGGCGACCTCACTAACCTCATCCACACCAAGTACCCACAGCTTCTGCCGGGTGAGCAGGGTGGGGCAGGTGGGCTGGGTACTGGATGGGACCTGCTTGCCCACATGATGGCCGCAGGCCTGGCAGGACTCCCAGCGCCTCAAGCAGCAGGATCTAGAAGATGGAAGGATGGCAGGCCCTGGGATTCATGCTGGGGCTTCCTGACTTCAGAGTGCGAGGCAAGGGTGGCTGAGCTGACAGCCCAAGGGCAGACACAGGGCCATGGCTGGGAATAGCTGAGAGGGAGCCAGCTTTGTTCAAAGCAGGTACGGGGAGTACAGGGAGTACAGAGGCCTGGATGCAGAAAAAGCTAGAATGTTCAGGAAACAGAATAGAGGCCCGCAGGATAGCAGTGAACAAAGGGAGCCTTCACTGGGGGGTATTATGGGATATGGTGTGAGCTTTCATGAAGGCCAGATGTATTCAGTCCTAATAGGCCAATAGAAAAGCATTTGATTCTCAGCGCAACGGGAAATAATTGGAGGGCATTCAGAAGATTTCTCTGAGAAGACACATGTTAGACATGGCTGCTGCATGGAGAATATGCCGTGGCAGGAGACAGGGTCAGGGCCTAGCGCAGCAGCAGTGAGAATGGAGAAGCTGGGAGTTGTTGGGAGGCAGAGTCACTAAGTCTGGCGGTGGCTTTCCCTAGGAGGGCGTCGGGGACTCCTTGCTCATGCTGGTCTGGGTGACTGGGGGGCCTGTGGGATCAGTCACAGAGATGGGAACCCAGAAAGAGGAATGACTTTAGGGGGCAAAGATGAGGAATTTGTGTGCGCTCAGGTGAGGTGTCTCTGAGGCTTGTCCTCTTCCCTCTTGTTTAGGCATCCGAGGCATCTCTGAGGAGACCACGACCGGGGTCCACAACCTCTACAAGATGATGGCCACTGGGGTCCTGAAGGTGCCCGCCATCAACGTCAACGACTCCGTCACCAAGGTGAGCTGGGGGCAGTGACAGCTCCCACTGCAGTGGCTGCAGCTCCATGCGAGGCCTGTGAAGAAGAGCGTCCAGGAAGGCTGAGGCTAGGGACATGAGGCCCTCATTTGAGGGGGCAAAAAAGTGGTTATAGATCAAGGCTAATGAAGGCATTTAGATGGAGGTCTCAGTGCTGGGTGTTAGGAGCTTTATGGCTTTGGGAAAAAGAGCTTTCAACTTAAGCAAAGTATTTGACCAGGCAGTCTCTCCTGGTAACTGATCCCTAGGAAGGCTCCAAACCAGTAGAGAAGGATTAGAGAGACGTCTTGGAGCCGATTGGGGTGAAGGGTGTGTGGAGGTATTGGCTGCTAGAGGGTTTCCACCCAGGCCGGGATGCTCAGTGGGTGCACGATGCCTGGGCTCTTCCGAGTATTCTGAGGTCAAGTGGTCCTGGCCCCAGGGCCTTGCAGGCCCCCATCGTCTCCTTACTCCCTCTCCTTTCAGAGCAAGTTTGACAACCTCTATGGCTGCCGGGAGTCCCTCATAGATGGCATCAAGCGGGCCACAGACGTGATGATTGCCGGCAAGGTAGCAGTGGTAGCAGGCTATGGCGATGTGGGCAAGGGCTGTGCCCAGGCCCTGAGGGGTTTCGGGGCCCGCGTCATCATCACCGAGATTGACCCCATCAATGCACTGCAGGCCGCCATGGAGGGTAGGATAGGGCAAGTGTTGGTTGTCAGCCACTGCGGCCGGAGGGAAGGGCACGGGTGCTGTAGATGACCCTCAGCCACTGTCTCTGCACAGGCTATGAGGTGACCACCATGGATGAGGCCTGTCAGGAGGGCAATATCTTCGTCACCACCACAGGCTGTGTTGACATCATCCTTGGCCGGTCAGTGCCCCTTGGAGGTCCTGGGGAGTGAGGGAGGAGGGCAGGGTTGGGACTGCTCTTTGTCCCTGACAATCTCCCATGATCTCGGGCTGCCTGACAGGCACTTTGAGCAAATGAAGGATGATGCCATCGTGTGTAACATCGGACACTTTGATGTGGAGATCGACGTCAAGTGGCTCAACGAGAATGCTGTGGAGAAGGTGAACATCAAACCGCAGGTGAGAAGCTCCCATCCTGCCAGCGGGCTGGGCAGATGGGAACACAGAGGAGTGCTGGCTGCCAGGGAGGGGAGCTGAGGAGACTGTGGCAACCTGTGTAGTGTGATGGGGAGAAGAGGGCCTAGTAGAGCCAGCTGGAGATGGCAACCTTATCTCGAGAGCAGCCGGCATCCCTGAAGGTATCAGGCAGGTGAGCTGTATGTGGTGAGGCTGTAGTTTTAGAAAGATCACTCTAGCTACTGTGCAGACTGAAAGCAATGATGGTGAGTGGTGGGGAGGGAGGCTTTTGGAGGAGGCTCTTACAGTCTCTGCAGGGGATGGCTGCCTTGGGGAGTGCTGGGGATGGATGGACGGCATGTGGGGTCAGGATGAAGGTAGAGTCACAAAGGACACAGCTTTGGCCAGGCATCGTGGGTCACACCTGTAATCCCAGCACCTTGGGAAGCTGAGACGGGCAGATCACCTGAGGTCAGGAGTTTGAGACCAGTCTGGCCAAGATGGTGAAACTCCATCTCTACTAAAAATACAAAAGAAATTAGCTGGGCTGGACACGGTGGCTTATGCCTGTAATCCCAGCACTTTGGGAGGCTGAGGCGGGCGGGTCACCTGAGGTCAGGAGTTGGACCACTGTGTGAGGAGCAGGCCCATGCACTGAGCTGGGAAAGAATAGGTTTGCACTGGGGCACTGAAACTGGAAGACGAGTTCTTGTTGGGGGTATGACATTTTACTTGAGTTGTAATTATTGTGGATTCATTTTTTTCTCTGATTATAAAAGTAATATGTTTCTGGAAGACATTTAGGCTTTGGATATCAAGAGCTTTAAAGTTAAGCAAACACGGCCTGGTGTGGTAGCTCACACTTGTAATCCCAGCACTTTGGGAGGCTGAGGCGGGTGGATCACTTGAGGTCAAGAGTTTGAGACCAACCTGGCCAATATGGTCAAACCCTGTCTCTATTAAAAATACAAAAATTAGCCGGGCGTGGTGGTACACGCCTGTAGTTCCAGCTACTCAGGAGGCTGAGGCAGGAGAATCGCTTGAACCCGGGAGGCAGAGGTTGCAGTGAGCCAAGATCACACCACTGTACTCTAGCTTGGGCATCAGAACGAGACTCTGTCTCAAAAAAAAGAAAAAAAAAGTTAAGCAAACTCTTTGACTGCGCAGTCTCTCCTGTAATTGATCCTCAGGAGATAATTAAGTAAGTGTTATATATAGAGATATTCATCACTTTTTTTTCTTTTTGAGATGGGCTCACTCTGTCACCCAAGCTAGAGGGCAGTGGCACAATCATGGCCCACTGCAGCCTTGACTTCCTGAGCTGAAGGAGCTGATCCTCCTGTCTCAGCCTCCCAAGTACCTGGGACTATAGGTGTGCACTACTACACCTGGCTAATTTTTTGTAGAGACAAGGTATTGCTATGTTGCCCCAGCTGGTCTCAAACTCCCGAGCTTAAGCGATCTTGCTGCTTTGGCCTCCCAGAGTGCTGGGATTACAGGCGTGAGCTGCTGCACCAGGCCCATCACATTTTTTAAAGGGAGAAAAGCCCACTTAATGTGAGGTTCTTTGAGTTGATGCTGTGCCGTCTTTCAGATATGGTATGGAAGATAGAGACACAGAATTGGCCAAAGCCCTGACACCCACCCAGTCACAGCCACACCAGAAGCCCAAGTCCCAGAGAGGCAGACAGGCAGCTCTGTGAACCCACATCCCCTACACTGCTCCCCTCCGGCCCTCTGCTCCTGTGTGGGAATTCTCCTTGGCTAGATCCTGCGCTAGTCTAGGGTGTCAATTCCTGGCTATGCAGAGGGCACCTCCATCTCTGCCTAGAAGGCCTGGCACTCATCACAGTGTGGGGGCGGGCAGGGCATGCTTCCATGGCAGCCACACCCCTGAGAGCCAGCCAGACGTCCTCCTGCAAAGGCATCACAGGGCTATACTGGGGTGATAGGCATCTTTCTGCCAAGCTGCCCTCCAAAGCTGGACTCTTCCCACCCTCAACATCCTTGACAGTCTTGCCAGCTTTCTGCCCAGCTTTATCTCTTATCTGTCCTCTCAAGGATCTCTGCACTCAGCTGTATTTGACCACTCCCTGAATACCCACTGCAGCTCCTGCTTCTGCTCGTCTGCCCAGACAGCTCCGTTTGTTTGGAACAGAACATATGCCCTTTTCTTTATCCATCTTCTTAACCCAGCTCAAGAGATCCCCCTTCTGGCCAGATATGGTGGCTCACATCTGTAATCCCAGCACTTTGGAAGGCCGAGGGAGGTGGATCACTTGAGGTCAGGAGTTGGAGACCAGCCTGGCCAACATGGTGAAGCCCCATCTCTACTAAAAATACAAAAAATTAGCCGGGCATGGTGGCTGGTGCCTGTAGTCCCAGCTACTCCAGAGGCTAAGGCAGGATAATAGCTTGAACCCTGGAGGTGGAGGTTGCAGTGGGCTGAGATCACGCCACTGCACTCCAGCCTGGATGACAAAGTAAGACTCCATTTAAAAAAAAAATTAAGGGCCGGGCGCAGTGGCTCACGCCTGTAATCCCAGCACTTTGGGAGGCCGAGGCGGGTGGATCACGAGGTCAAGAGATTGAGACCATCGTGGTCAACATGGTGAAACCCTGTCTCTACTAAAAATACAAAAATTAGCTGGGCATGGTGGCGCATGCCTATAGTCCCAGCTACTTGGGAGGCTGAGGCAGGAGAATTGCTTGAACCCAGGAGGCGGAGGTTGCGGTGAGCCGAGATCGCGCCATTGCACCCCAGCCTGGGTAACAAGAGCAAAACTCTGTCTCAAAAAATAAAAATAAAAAATATAAAAAGAGACTCCTTTGCTGGCCAGCTTCTCTGGCAGAGGCAATGCCCACACTCTACTGTAGACCCCTAGTGCAGCATCCATCACTGGCTTTGGTCTCTGCCCCGACTGTTTTATCAGGAGGGTAGAGTCCAGATTGATGTGTCCCTGCAAGGGGCTTAGATGGGTATCAGTGAGTGCTTATTGGCTGAAGCATTAATCAATGCTTGATGGGCATCAGAGACCTTTCCTTGGACTGGTACTAGGCCTCTGAAGCAGTTTGGAAACCTGGGCTTTTGGGGAAATGTTCAGGAGGCTGTGTGAGGGCGGAGGGATGGCAAGGGAAGAGCTGGGAGTGGGGAGAAAGCAGTTTGTGTGTTCAGACAGCTGGGACAGACGGAGGACTGGGGCACTGAGGCCGGGGATTTCCACTTCACGTTCACTTATCTACTAAACCGAGAGTTCTCAACCTGGCTGTCACCTGGGAGCCACACTGTGGGTTATACGAATAGGAGTCTCTGGGAATGAGGCCAGGGTATCCTCATTTTTTAGAGCTTCTGAGGTGATTCCAATGTGAGTGCCACAGCATTCAGCTTTTTATTTTTTGAGATGGAGTCTTGCTCTGTTACCCAGGCTGGAGTGCAGTGGCACAATCTCGGCTCACTGCAACCTCTGCTTCCTGAGTTCAAACGATTCTCATGCCTCAGCCTCCTGAGTAGCTGGGACTACAGGCACATGCCACCACACCCAGCTAATTTTTGTATTTTTAGTAGAGACGGGGTTTCATCATGTTAGTCAGGCTGGTCTTGAACTCCTGATCTCATGAACCATTTGCCTTGACTTCCCAAAGTGCTGAGATTACAGGCATGAGGCCACCGCGCCCCACCGCAGCTTTTACTAAGTTTTACTAAATTGCATTGAACTGTTCCGTGGTTATTGAGAACATGGGATATGTCCTCAGACCGTCCAGACTCAAATTGTACCACCTCTTAGTGTGTGGCTCTGGACAAGTGACCTAACCCTTGTAAACTTCATTTTTTGAGTCTGAAATTGGGATGACAGCAGTACTGACATCATAGGCTTGTTTCCGGGATGAAATGTGATAATACCCTATAAAGGACTTAGTATAGGCACATGACAGTGATCAGAACAATAACATTAGCTGCTGCTTCCTAAG